GCCAAAAGTAATGTGGGCAACATTAGCAATATCAGTGGCGATAATCTCAAATGAGATGCTGAAGACAAAATTATGTTGTGAATCTGCGAAAATATTTGAAACAAAATATTTTTAAGTCACTAATTGTGGCAGTGTACTCTATTTAAAAGCGCAATTGATTTGAGTATTTAAATAAGGCAGTGTCTTCTGCACCGCGCGGCGCAGCAGCCATCCTCACACAAAAGTGGCTTCTGCACCGCACAAAAGTGACGTCACTTTTAAAAAAAGTTAACGTAAAGCTATTCAAATGTGCAAATTATTACTTTATTATGCAATAAACTCACAAAAGTGTCATTAAGCCAGTGTGTAACGTGTTTTGTGCATAAATTATTAACGCATTGTATAAAAATGTTTGTTTTGTATAGTGTTTTTGTAATATTAGTATATATGGCTCAGTTTAACAACCAAATAAATTATTTGTTGGTTTATAAGTATTATTAAAAGGAAAATAAGTTGATTTTTTGTTCTGTGCTTGAGGGTGCAGCGGGTTTGCCCCTGGTTTCGGTTTGGAGCGTATTTTGATCGGCAGAGACTGCTGCGCCGCGCGGTGCACAAGCCACCCCCACACAGAGACGGCTTCTGCGCCGCACAGAAGTGACGTCACAAAAATTGTCACGACATACGTCGTTTTTGATTTAGCGCGTTGTTCGAATTTACCGAATCGGAACGTGACTCAGCAGACGCTCACTTGCTGCTGCTGGAGTACGGCTGGTTGCTGCTTCTGCGAGCTGTTTACAGGCCTTGTTCTGCTACATATTCGCAAGCCTCGAACATCATCTTCATCTCAGCTCAACCGCTCATTTTCACTCCTATTTTATATTTACTAACGTTGTTTATATCCATCCCAATACGTATTTTTGTGATTTCTCGCTTATAGGCTGATTTAGCAGTATCCGTACGCGGCCCTTTCTTTGGTCATCCGTGTTAACGTGCTTCGTATCTGTGTCATAGTGCATTTGCGTAATTGACAGCCGTGTTTTAGATTCAATATTCACTTTCTTGTTTCTTTTTTTTTCATGGTTTAATTCTGAAATGAAAGTGTGCGCAACATGACGCGTGTGTTAGTAGCTAGCGATTCGATGGTGAAATACGTGGACCAGTATTTCCCATCGCGCCGTGGCTTGTCTGTTAGCGTTGCCGCACACAGAGGAATAAGGATTGAGCACTTCCTCTCAATGATTGCTGACAAGCTGGCCAGTTTTGATGTTGTCATTGTACATGTTGGCACGAACAACACTGTTGACAGTGTCAACATGTGCATGGACAAATATCGCCAGCTCGCTCAGGGAATCATCGAAAGCATTCCCACGTTGCATGTAGCTTTTTCTGCCATTCTTTCTCAGGGGCAGAATCGGTACCGCGAAGGGGAACAGTTGTCTGATGTTTGTCATTTGAATGACCACTACAGGAATGTGAATGCCGCACTCGCACAGCTTTGCCTGGAGAGGGGCTTCACTATCCTAGATAGTCTTGGGGACAGCTAGCCTGGATTCCTGAGCACCACGTGATTTACATGCCGGGCTCTTGGTGTGCTTGCGGCAATTTCACTAGCTTAATATACAGCGAAATTTGCATTGCATACCACTGTATGATGACCATAAATGACATTTCTAACATGCAAATCATAGTATCCACGTCTTAATTGTACAGCATGGTTTCCTCCTTCCTGGCTGCTTTGCATTATGCATCGATTCCTGTATACTGTGCATGGGAGCTGTCGTTACTGTACTGGCCTCAGCCAGTACAGTAACCCATAAGCAAGCGAGTTTCTGTTTTCGCCTCTCTTAACACAGTTGTACTGTTGAGACTCTACGGACAGCAGACGCAGTATCTCGAGCAGACATGAACACGGTGGTTCAAATAACAGACGCACGTTGGATTTTTTTTATCTTGCAGGTTCATAAATTAGCACGCACGCATGCGCAACTAAACAGGTGGAAAATACGGTGGCATGCTTGTTTATTCACAATGGCACTATATGGAAACCAATCAGTTTCTTGGTCCAAAAAATTGTGGGCAATCATTTTAGTGCAATATGCGACCTCTTTCAGTATCATTGCAAGAAAATTTTTTTGCTGTCTTCAGAACCGGTTTAATGTTGCCATAGTGGGTATAACCTAGGCTGACTAAAAAAAAAAAGAGCCATCAATACAATACTGCTCAAATTAATGAGAACAGACACTAATGCCAAATAACATCCAAGGGGATGTTATTTGTTGCAATTATCATACAAGTGTGAAGTGGCAAAAAGACAACTTGCTGGGACCGATAATTGCTACAGATAACATCTCCTACACTTTCCTTGCCGTTACTTCCTGTGCTCATTAATATTGTATCTAACAAAGAAAAACAAGTTATTAAAATACCCTTCTTTCTTTAATAGTGCATGGATTGTTCTGATCTGCTGCTGGTTGCTAGAAAAGAAATGGTGCTTTTTATCCACTTCACTGGCATGCATTTTTCTGTTACGATATGCATTTTAGTGAAAGCAAAACAGCAAGTCTGCACCCATTCTGACAATTGTATCAGTTCTACAAGATATACAATAGCGTCACACACCAGGATAGTTTAGTAATTGTGTCAAAGAAACATTGAGGTTGATGACCAAGTAGTTTTTAAGAATAAGGAGTGTAAACGTAAAAAAATGTGCAAGTCTGGGTGTTGCACAATTTGCTACACCTGAATGCGAATAGATGGCAACATCAAAGTCAAAGTGCCAAGTTGCGACACGAACCTTTTCTTCAATTCATTCATGCCGAAGAGAGCATCTGAATAAGTGAGGCGTAAACCCGCAAATGCTCATGGTAGGCGCCGTCTGCATCAGGTTCCAGTTCAAGGTATTTTTTTTATTCATATATTTTTTATTCAGGTATTTTTTATTTTATTGTATCCGTGGCGCCCTGTTCCGCTGGCTGCATTTTTGGAGCTGTAGATACGTCTTTTCTTTTGACTGGGTTGCAAGCTCAATCTCACCCAATTGCTCACGCAATCATGGTTGATTCTGCAGCTGTCGGTTGCTCGAGTTCGAGTACCAAAGAGAAAAAAGATGTTTAGATTCCCTCGGAATGAGGATAAAATATGGAAGTGGGTTTTGTGGTAATAAGGACAGGCACGGTGAGTGGTATAGCCCTTGGATACCTAAGGTCAGACAGGTGATATCTGTCCCAAATCCTGCGTGGGTGGTTTTGTTTGTCTGACACATTTGGTATTTACGTACAGGCGTTCCCAGCAAAAATTCACAGTAGGTTGACTACGTGCCGTCAACATTTTGGCATGACAAAATAGGAACTGAGGCATCAAGACGGAAGCACGAAAGACATTTGAATGTGTAGTTTTTCATCACCACAACCACAATCACAATATACGCATATACTACAAGCACATGGCGTTTACGCTAAAACGCACGGCTGCCACGTAACCTGCAGCCAGCTCTGATCCTGATACGGAAAAATGCGTGACACAGCAGCCGCACGACATCAGGCCAGCGACGACGCTGCGGAATTCATGGACACAGCATTTGTCAATGACGTCAACTGCAGCGATGTATATGCAATCAGTCAGTGGTTCTGACGGCGACGACCTCACACCAGTAGGAGAAAATGATGTCAGTAACGTTATGTAGGCAAGAAAATACTATTCTACTTATAGAACAGCTATGCAGTATGTTGCTGGTAATTTGAAGAGTTTTTCCAAGCATTTATTTTAGTAGTAAGCTTATTCATACCTCATCCAGAGCACATTGAGCAGAACAGGTAACTGCGCATAACAAGCACGGCACCTGATTATGAAGCGAGTGTCGTCTTGGTCAGCTTGTTTACCGACACGATGCAATACGTAAACGATAAACAAGCTCGACTTTGCTAAAAGAAGTTGCCGCCGACATATTTAGCTTTTTAAAGCTTTGTCAGTGCTGTATTATAGTCGAGGTCATCACGAACGATCACGAACGAACGATTGAACAGTTTACCAGTCTGTTGCCGTTGAATGCGTAGTTTCAGTAATAAAGGATGCCCCTTTCACACAATGAACATTGATACGAGCTGCGGTGCAACTACGAATGCAAAAAAAAAAAGCAGCTGAGCACCCCCAAAGATGGAAACACACAAAAATAAGCACATTAGTGGACACCCTGCATTAATATACAAGTGTAAAATAGTGAAAAGACGTGACAGCCAAGTCCACGCCACTGTTTATTCCGAAGAAACGCAGAAACGTGACAGCATGTACAGTCTGTTGTTTGCCACTTGAAAATATTTCACGACAGCACATGCTTTCTTTTCGTGGTCAGTCGTAGGTGCGGCTATGCTAACGTGCTCTAGAAATTCGCAGCATACACGTTGGGTTGCTATCAAGAAAAAGAGCTCACCGATACCCAAGGAGGGACACAGTAGACGGACGGAGAGCCATTAAACCGGAAGCCAGTGCAGACCGCGTGCATCCTACAAGTCTTTGAGAGTTTACATTTCACCTTTAGAACCACCTTTTCCGCTCAGTTGCTAACAAGTCAGACCATTCATCTTTTGAAGTGGTCTTGCATAACAATCTATAACATAAATTATTTACCACTCTCCTCTGTACAATGTTTGGCATTGAGAGTATATTTAAATAAACTATTTATGTTTAGGCACTTCGATGATGCGGTCAAATTAAAATGTCATGCTTGCACTTGTTTGGAGGGGCATACAAAGAAAATTTAATGAGCAAAGTTCAATTAGAGTGACTTGTTTTAAGCAAGAAAATTTTTATGTTGAACATCTGCTACGTCCTCAGTTGTCAGTTCCTAAGTACGTTTAGCTGTACCACGTGCTTTTTGGGGGCAAAGGAAAGCAGCAGCGATCATGCGTATGGTAAGATCATATGATTCTTTTTGTATTTCCACAGTTTCACGAGCATTCATCGGATTTCTGCATTGCCACCGATTTACCAAGTTTTAAATGGTTGTAATTAAAGTCCATAAACACTAGGGATACACTTTTTATTCTTATTTTTCTTTTGTTGTTTGCAGCTCCTCTAAATGCAACTTGCACAGATCATGTCTTGGAGCTGTTTGTTGCTTCAGTTCCTCACACTTGGATCTTCAGCAAAGGTGAACTTTGCTCTGAAGATCACAGCGCTGATTGAGTGCACAGTTTCCGCAGGTCGTCCTTTGGCCACATTCCTTGAAGGCCTTGCATAACATAAGCATTGTGAATGCTTTACATAGAGAGCCTGTAAAAAAAAGACAGAGCAATAAATACCCAAAAGGGCGGTGCCACCTTACAAATAAAAAGGCATCACTCTCACTCCCCAAGACAGTACATTAAATATTCAAGACGACACAAATAAAAGCAATTAAGGCCAGATTCATTTCTAGAAGTGATGAAAAACCAGTTAAAAAGCAATTTTCCACTCGTAAACAAAGGAAAAGAAAATCTTTAACCCTTGCATTGTGAAAAACATGTGGCGCATGACAAAGACGTGGACTAAAAAAGCCAACAGGACGATGTGCAGGATAGCGCGTCGTCCAGTGATCTTTCTTATTGTCTTCTTTTGTACACCACTTGTTTAAATAATGTATCACCACCAACGAGCCTATTCTTACATCCTGTCAATTTAACCCTACATAGGTTTTTTTTAACCTATATAGGAATAATTTAACCCCCCCTACTCAGCCTGGTGGTTTCCTGCCAGAAGCAGCTAAAGCGCGTTTTAAATGTGGAGCATTTCTTAGTCGCACAATGTATCTCTTCGGCGATGGCTCGCGTCACGTGCCGGCCTAAGAAGACGCCCGCAAAACTGTCGCTCCCCTCAACCTGTCTCGCCTCGCAAGGATGATGCAGGCAGCGTCTGCTAGTAAAAAAACAACTGCTCGCCCTCTGGATCATGCATTTGGATTTCAGTCAAGTGCATCTTGGCTTTCGCTTGACGTTGAAGGCAACGACTCTTCTTTATTCTATAAATAATAATAATAAAGACGAAATAAGAAGGACAAATGGACGTGGGCCGGGCATGTAGCACGTAAGCAGGATAACCGCTGGTCATTAAGGGTAACTGACTAGATTCCCAGATAAGGCAAATGTATGAAGGGGAGACAGAAGTTCGCAGTATTACGTGGGAGCAGAAAGCACAAGACCGGGCTGATTGGCGGATCATGGGAGAGACCTTAGTCCACCAATGGGAGTCCTCAGGATGGTGATGATGATGAACAATTAAGCATTCCCAAACCATACGAAATTATGCAACATTCACGTGATACCCTCCCCCCCCCCTGCCGCTCTGCGATGCATTTCAGTTCTCCCCCTGGGAAGATGCGAGCGGCAATTTTTTTTTCATTCTTTTTCATTCAACGGAATTTGCAGACTTGCTACATGAACTCAATAGCCACAGCTCATATGCACATTATATAGAGTTGGAGTATAAATATATGGCACTTTTTCCACTTTATGAGGATATTATACTTTGCAGTCTTTCTTTGAAACGAAAAAATTACGATAGCTATAGCGCGAGAACAGAGCGACGACAAAGATACCAGAAGGACACGAGCGCTCGTGTACTTCTTGTCTCTTTGCCGTCGTTCTGTTCTTGCGCTATAACTATCTTCATGTCATACCAACTAGCCCAAACTGCCACACTTCTAAGTTGCAGAAATAACGTAGTGCGGTTAGCACTGTGTAGATGAAAAAGCCAGCTACGGCTCCAATTTCATTTGTCATTGTTCTAAAATTATTTTCCAGAAGTGTTACAGATGTAATTAACCAGAAATATACACTGAAACGGGTAAAGTTATGGCCCCGAAAGAAATTCTCAAAGCACTTTTTAGAAGTTTCTTGTGTGCTGCAGGTATTTACTCAATAATCGAAGATTGGACAGTGCTTCGTTTATGCTGAAGGTATATTTGGCAAACACGGGCCGGGCCCAAACTTTTCGGTCTTGGCCCGGGTACGAGCCATATTTAAAAACCCCAGGCCCGTACCCGGGCTGGGTACGGCGTATTTAAAACCCCGGGCCGGGCTCGGGCGGGCCTGTGCATGGATTTTTGGGGCCAGGCCGGGTCGGAAAAATCGGCCCGTGCAGTGCTCTATTGCCGACGTTTGAATATGTGGTTGCAAAAATGAATCTGTCAAGGTGCAACAGCTTCCTTGATTCCACAGAAGAATCACGAATGTCGGCACATTAGCTTGATTTAGGAACTCTGCTCTGGACGTGATGCTGGACCAAATGAAAAATTTAGCTGAAGTTACCCAAGTGTTATCCTTGAAACATGAGTAATAAGTGTGTAGTTGAGGACGTTTGCTGTTGCATCACCAATAATAATAATAATAGCAACAATAATAAAATATTAATGTTATTAATAAAAGACATGGGTAGCCCGGCAAGCTTCTGCTGATAGCAGTTCTAGCCTAGAAAATCCAGGCGGCCTTCAAGCCGAGCCGAAACGGTGGCGTAGACAGACATGAGTAAAGTTGTGGTTCAAAAGTCAGATATGCTGTGTGATATGTAGAAGCAACAGACATGAAAAGAGTGGATGTACCAAGATGGAAGCTAAAGTTTATCCAATGTGAAGGACAAGTTGCCAAGCAGAAATTTTCTTAGTCTTATTTATGCGCTAGGCTGCCACAATTGTGACAGCCTAGTGAAAACAGGTGAAACTGGTGATTTCATGAAAAAAAGTTAAACAACACACATATGACTTTACGAAACGACGTGTGGCCTCGACTGCCCTCTCTGAACACGCGGAATCTACGGACCACCAATAAAACTTGTGTGTTCTGGACAAAGCAAAAACTTGCATCTTCCCGCGAGGGGGAGGGGGAACTCGAGTAAATGCGTCACGGAATGGGGGGGGGGGGGGGTATCGCGTGATTGTTGCATAATTAGGTAAGGTTTGGGAATGGTTAATTGTCATTTCGTCTTTATTATCCATATTTAGTGAATCAAAGAGAAGCATTGCCTCAACGAGTGCTGGGACACTGTTGGGTTGTGCCCTACTACTGGTTGAAGGTACTGTTGCTTCTATTGCATCTACTGAAGTCAAGCAAAGCGTCAAGTCAAGTGAAAGCCAAGTAAAGACGGCCTTGACTGAATTCCGAATGCCCGATCCAGTGCCTACATATACGGAGTGGTCAGTGAACGGGTGTTCCTGAAGGTCGGACAACCACTCAGTAATTGTTGGGGGGAAAGGTCATTTTGTTGCGTGTGTAAGTAAGAAAAGCAGTCTGGGCACGAGAGTTTTTCCTTTTGGCTGGAAAACAACCTTGCAGGAAAGCTGCCTTGCAGATTTCTGCAAATGGTCAATTTATGAAGAGTGTGCGGACACTGACCCACCTAGTAAGCGAGATGCATCCATTAGGGGGGCGACTCCATAACTTCTTGCCCTTATACTACGATAGACTATGCTATGCTTTATGCTCTCAACTCTTCCTAAGATCGTCCTCACCCTTGCGTCCCTTTCCCACCCTTACTCTATGTGAAGCTATGCTGAGAGCTGCTTGGCACATATCCACTTTGCAGAACTTTCCGCTGAAAGAGCTCCGCTCAGCTGTAACGAAATTCGCGAGGCCTCCGTGGAACACGCAGCAGACTATCACAGCGAAGGGTGGCCTTTTTAAAGGTTATTGCTGATGGTTGAAGGAGAATGGCAATATCTGCCTTTTACATTTTGCAACCCATTCTCGAACATTCAATTTCCATCCAGAAGTGGCATGTATTTTAGTCATCTGGCCATGTTGTTCCTGAAATGCCAATAAAATTACAATGTGAAAATTTGCTTTGGTTTTTCTATATAAAGATATTCAGACTGTATGTTGAGCTTCTTATATAAACCATTTATTACTGGTTATTGTAATCTCAAACAGATTGAAATATTGTTTCAAAGTAAGCACAAGTGCCTCTATCGGGTCATGACACCTCGTTAACTCATTACCCGTACAATGAATTTAGTGGCTTCTCAGGCCCAATGTTACAATTCACCTGCTCTGCGAGTATAGCAGACATCAATGACAGACGAATTTGCAGGGTCCACGACAAAGGCTATGGTCATTCACCTCTCTTGCTGCATTCCTGGGCTGCTTTCTAGTTGGTGCTGGCTGCTTACGCCAGTGGTATTTGAAAAATTGCAAGAAATACACAAACATTCAAATAGTTTTATTTTATGAAGAATATTGTGAAACAGGTGCCCATCTGGCACCTGTAAACAAAGTTTGACGGGGGACTGTGCCCGATGCCGCATCACCCACATCATTTCAGTTCTCCCAGCATGCTCTGTAGGTCACTGAAGTGTGGCCTGGCACATAGCCCAGTAAAAGCTCATTCATTTAAACATTAAAGGGGCCCTGAAACACTTCTTCAACTCACCGTAGAGTGTATTCACTAAAATAGCTTATTGCGACACGAATTCAACGCGGCGAAAATTTCGAGTACGAGCGGAGTTGCAAAGATTTGTCGCACGCTGCAATCGCATACTCTCTTCTCTTGTCTCGACGAAAGCCTTGAAAGCTAAGCAGGGAGGGATGGCAAGGGCAATGAAAATACGCCACGTGTGACTTGTGACCTTGAGCACTTTTTTTCATTCGAATACACAAGTTTTTTTAATGTGGTCGTGCTTTCATGCGTGGAAAATTCGCGGCCTCCCACGTTGATTCCTGTAACGACTGAATGCGCCATGTGTAAATCAGCCAAAGGCTGACAGAAGGCCTTCTACGAGCAATTTTTGAGCTTCCTCCATCATTTGACGAGAGAAAAGAAAGCACTTTTTAGCTGACTTTGGCAATTTATTGTGAATTGCAGGCCGTGTGCTGCGCTATAATATTTGTCTCACAGGTTATCGGGAGCCTTTACTACCAATCCACAGCATTTTCTGAACATACTGAAAACGTGTTGCAGGGCCACTTTAATTAAAACTGACACCCTAATCTTGGCACAGCTTTATGTATTTCAATAGGGGAAAACTACAAATAATTTTAACACGTCGATATCAACAACGGTTTATTCAAACTGGGTGTCTCCTCGCTTTTGCCCACATTTTCATGAATCAGCGTAGGATGATCATCGAAATTACTCAGTTCTTTCATCTGTGTAAAACAAGTGTAGTAATTGATTCCCATGTATAATTTTATGGTTATAAAAGCAGTCTGTCTGCTGCTACTGCTGTATAAGTGGAATAGCAGAGTCCGGCAATATTTGCCTTTAGCCATGTTTTTTTTTTACAAAATTCACTATTGTTTTAAATAAACTAAAAAATAAAGACGTTAAATCTTGATTTAATTAACTCTGCCATGTAAATAAATGTGTTTGGGAACACAAATAGCTTCATATATTTTGGCACTAAGGGCCACTGCTCACGTGAATGCGTCTCTGCTTGTTTGTGGAGTGTCCCCAACTAATACATAAATTCTATTTACTGTTGAAGCATGAACTTAATTTTTGAAATAACCTGCCACAAATGTGCACTGCCATCTAATTAGCAGGAGTGAGTACCGAGGTGCCCTCTCTGGATGCTCGACGAACAGTGTTCCTTTTGCTGTTTGGTTGAAGTTTTGCTAAATTGGCTAAGATGCTATATTGTTAATTTAGTACAGCAGTTTACTTCAAGCGGTTTACCAAGTAGATTAAATTGTAGAATCAAATTCAAGCTGAAAGTAAACAAAACTTGAAAAACAAAAGCTTGCTAGTGTTTCTTGCAGGCTTCGGCAATAAAGGACGCAAAGGGAGTTGGCCAAACAAGCTTGCATATAATGGGCTGTAGCAATACTAGAGAGAACATTTATATAGCTGAAGCGTTCTTCAGAGCTTGTGTAGCCGAGTGATCGTAGCTGTTTAGTGCAGGCGTGAAAGTTCTGCCAAACAGCACGATCGCTGTTGTTGGAAAGGTAAGCTGACTTTTCGTTCATTTCTAATCTCGTTTCTTTTATCCTGCTAGCCCCGGTGAATCTGGTAAACACCGTTTTAGGAAGGCAGGATGTCTCGGCGGTTCATGCGGTGAAACCACTACATCTTTTATTCTACGCTTTCCACGCAATAAATATGCACCGCACACAAGACACTACTGTATGTAAACTAAAGAGGACAGCTTGCACAGTAGAGACCTTTGACACTTCTCTTATGACGTGCAGACTTAGCGAAGACAGAGCACACACAGAACGTAGCCTAGCCCAGTACTGCACTCAAAAATGGCCAGACTGCCAAAATGGCTTGGCTGCCCGGTGATACTTTCGCAACCTCGCGAATCGAGGTGCAGTGCATACCCTGTATTGCGTTGACCCCACAGAGACATGAAGGATACTCGTACATATGTGTCAGTGTTTGCACCCCTAAGCTCCAGGGGAACTTGTCTCAGTATACTGCAGAATGTAGCTTTGAGTATGGCGGTAAATTTGGGTATGTGTTAGTCTGCAGTGGTGCCACAATGCATGACCCGTCTCTGGGCTTTGGGGATGTCAGCTCGACTGAATAGTTGCTTACAAACTCATCCCATGGTCCTTTTGTCGGCCAGTGTGTATTAGCATGAGAAACAGCTGACATGTTCATTCCCTGGTACAGCAGTGTGTAGAAGGCACCAAATGATGACATGTTTTAAAATAATATGAGAGCTGCAAATAAAGCAAACAATGCAATGCATGATCAAGTTCAGCTTCACCGCTATTTACGTGCGCTGCAGAGAAGCACGCAGTAAAGACAAGCACAAATTGACCAAAATGACATTCACAGGTTGTGCTTCACCGCTATACACGTGCGCTGCGGAGAAAAACATTAAAAACACTGGCATTTACACGTTCGGCTTTACCGCCGTGTACGGGCGCTGCGGAGAAGCACGTGAAGAAGAATGGCAATTTGGGCTAGTTGGTTTGAATTCATGGTAATGAGGGCTGCAGCGCGAGCACTAATGTGCTAGAATAAACAGACGAAAGTCGAAAAGCAAAGAGGACAACACGCGCGCCGTGTTGTTCAGCGCTCGTGTTGTCCTCTTTGCTTTCCGTGCCTCGACTTTCGTCTGTTTCTTCTAGCACATTCGTGCTCGCGCTGCAGCCCTCATTACCAAGAAGCACGCGGTAGAAACAAATACGAATTAACCAAACTGACAGACACAAGTCCGGCCTTACCGCCTTGTACGTGTGTTACGGAGACCAAAGGTATTTGTACAATACCTCTTAACGCGCTTGAAGCAATGTTTTTTTTTTTTTTTTGATGAGAACTATTCGCAGTTCTGTTCCACAAAAGCGGGCGAATGCATGTTTCAACCTAAGCATTTGGGGTCATTACAATTACACCAGTGCTACTCTCTTAATCCCAAATGGCCAACACGAAACACAATTTAATTTTACCATTCCAGCATATTAGCGTAATGAGTGGATGACTCGGAGCAAGTTACACAACTTTTCAGGATGCTATAACAGGTGCCAAAGAATTCAACACTTTTGTGCTTATCTACATGGGAAGCCTCTGCGAAAGTCTTATCGAATCGCGCCAGCATAGCTCTATATTATGACGCTGTCTGATATGTACTGTACAGGTATTTCTGGCTATTACTTATGGAATAGCGACCGACAGGGCAGAGTACAACTACGAATAATTGAGACGACTGCTTACCTGTTGTTGCAAGGCAGCGCACTGCAGCCTGCGACGCCTGTCGATCTAGCAGTCACCACGATGTTCACGAAATCGCTACTGGGCACCGGTTTACTAGTCTGTCGATCGAGCAAGCATAGTCACCACAACGTTGACAAAATCGTTACGAGGCACCGGTTTGTGTACTGCGTTGTCTACACGAAGCTGCACGACTTGCGGAGACAAAGCACAATGAATGATACTTCCCGAACGTTCAATTAAGGCGCTAGCTTGAGAATAGTGGTGTTGGTTAGATGAAGGAAGAGACGCCTAATTTCTGCAGCTTTTGAGAATGAGAGCACAGAACACCTATACACTACCATTTATGAGAGCCAGTGATCAGGCCACAGAACACCTACCAGCTGCCACCTACCAGCAGAGAACACCCATACACTACCAGGCCTCTGGCCTCACCACAGAACACCTGCCTCACCGGGTTCTCTGGGCCGACGAAGCGGCCAAATAGCTCCGCTGCGACGTCATGGTGCCACCATCGGAAATCTCCAGAAAACCCTCTACCTAGGTGAGAGACTGTAGGACAAAAAAGACGCTCGCGCTCAAAGGGGCACTGACATCAAATTAACTCATGCCAATATCTTTGCGTCAGCGATTAGCTATAGACCCCGTAGCAGCGATTCGCGACCTAAAACGCAACTGAGGGATGAATAACTATCACTTTTATTGATTTATATCACTGGTATCTAGCACTATTCAAAACGGCCGGCAATCCCGCCATTTCTAGCGCTTGAAGTATCAGCAGTGGCGCTACCTCGCGGTCACCTCCAGATCACGCCACACCTCCACAGAAAAGAGTGACGTCAGGCTCAGCTGCTTTGCAAACATTTTGTTTGCTAGACAGACACATTCAGTCATGCCTTGTCACCTGCATTGCTGTCGTCACCGTACAAAGTGTCCACTGGGGTTCTATACGATAGTCTGGAGCTTGGAATCACCGCAATTCGCGATGTCGCGAATTATTTTTGCTTCGATTGACCTTTTTGCAGAACATTGATTCCGAAATGGACGCCGTTCCAAGCAGCACTGCAGAGGTGCCCGAGGATGCACGCTTCAGCCATGTTCGCTCTAGCGTCTCAGTTAGCAATATTGGTGTGTTTTGGCGTGCAAATCATTGAGGTATACGCAGAGGGGTCAATGCAATATAGTTATCGCGAATGAGCATCAGCCTAAAAATAGAATAATATTCCTGCTTGCCAGGTTTTTTTTTTTTTTGCGCCTCCAGATGGTCCCACTTATCCTGCCTCTCGCGGTTACACAGCTGCTCTTAGTACACCCCCGACGCAGTTTGACTGAGACTGTTTACTCAAGGTTTCAGTAGTTAGGAAACAAACCAAAAGCAATCTGATTCAGAAAACACACCACACACACAGCTGCTCTCAGTACCGGCGAGTCCGTGGCGGTCTTGGCTGCTGGCGCGGAAACCGCAAGAACTGAACGCGGAAATGACGTTCGTGGTAGCCACTTCCAATGAGCGCCGTAGCAGACGACATATGCGTCTGCCCCTCTTTCTCGCGCGTTCTCCAGCATACGGTTGTTAAGTACGCCTCGCGGTTAACGCGGTATTACCACTTTTACGTGGACGCAAAGTCTACAGATGAACTAAAATTCAATGATACCTGCATGTTCCTTGTTAGCGATTGATTGATCTGTGGGGTTTAACGTCCCGAAACCACCATATGATTATGAGAGACGCTCCTTGTTAGCGACGATATCTGACTATACGCTGTTCCACTTTTGATAGCTTGTGGTCGTGTTGATGTGTAAGACATACGGGATATGAAAAGACACCCTCACTGCGCTTTTTCCGTGCTTCGAATTAGACGACTGCAACTCATCTGCAACTCACAACGATTACCTGACTGGCTGAGCGACAAGCACGCGCTTAATCATGCTATTTTGTTGGCGTTCTTTTAAAGGTGGTTTTTATCTCGATAATTTCACGAAATCATTCAAACCAATGCGACGAAGATCAGAAGTGACTAACGAGTGCGTTTCTGCGCTTTGGCACCACGATAAGAACACTCTGATCGTACACGTCATCGCTACTAGGGCATCGTCACTCAGGATGGTGTTTGTAGAATCAACGCCTCCTAGAAATCTAGGAGGCGTTGGTAGAATGTATCCCACTGAACACGTAGCACTAGTGTCGAAGTCGCAGGGCAGCCGATTTTTCGTTTTTTTTTTGCTTAGCTTTTCTACGTTGTTTGACGTTGAAATAAAATAACTTCGATGCGACGAACGCCACTCAAATTCGGCCAAGAAGACCTATGCATACCAAGTGACAGAATGATGGCCACATCTCGATCTTGAAATCTGATGTCAGTGCTCCTTTAAGTAAAAAAAAATATGTAAAGCTATATACTACCTAAATATGTAAAGCGAATACTATTTTGACTTAAAAAAACAACAAAGAAACGTGGAAAACACCCTGCATATATTGCATGGACAATCGAGACTTCATCCACGAATTCTACCAAAGTTCTAAAAAATAACTTCCAGCAAACGTTTTGAAAAAGACTTCTTATAAAGAACGTTTGCTCGAAGTCTTCTAGAAAATTTTTTTTAAAAAACGTTTATTCAACGTCAAATATTATACTGAGACGTCCGCATACCTTTCTAGTCGTTTCGGGAAGTTTATACGACGTTTAGTGTTTCCCTAGGCTCCAACCGCTCTACTACAGTGTGCGCCTGTCCTTGTCTGTCTCTTCCTGTGTGTCGCGTTCAGTTGCACTCTCACGATGGCTTACTGGGCGCGTTAACACAGCGCTAGCTAGAAGGCAGTGCTTTGCGTGATATAAAGAGAAATAAAAGGGCAATTAAAGGACCCTTGGGCGAACTCGCGATGTAGCGAGATCCAGCACCCCGTCACAAAACGACTGACATTGAAACAAGTTCGTCTCGTCTTAGCTTACGCGCGGAACAAAAGACACAGTGCCGATTCTACTGGTAAACTCGAGTGACCTAGAATATGTTTTAGGTCACCCTAGGTGAAACGCTCACTTACCTTGATGATGATGCTATTGGCACCTACCCACTCAGGGGGATCGGCCAAGAGTCGGGCGAATCATACATCCTGGATTTATGATTATTAAAGGAGCTGACATCCGAAGTAGTTCAAGGGGCGCGGCTTATTCTAGCTTGCCGGCCAGCAGCACAAACAAACGCGTAATATAAAATAATTGGAGCACACCAGCTGCATAAGAACACAACCCGTTTCAGCGACACTGTCGGCGAAAAGCCCACACGTTTCAGCGTAATTTCTTCGGTGTACGGCTTCAACAGGCTTCACCGGCACTACTGGTGCACTGCAAATCTACGACCTGTATAAAAATTATATAAGGGAGGTCATGTGAAAATCTAGCATCTATGAGCGCCATCATGCATCTTGATTCAAAAAATAAAAATAAACAAGAAGACCAAAATCAATTTAGATCACGTGACCACCTTCAGCTAATAGCGGCGCCGAATTTATTCCATACATCTCTTCCTAGGGGATGTGATGCAGAAACACGCGGTCTCGTACAGCATCTCGAGGAGCCACTGCCTCGTGCCACGAAGGAAGCCTCGTGCGGACGTTCGTGGTGTCAGGATGCGATCGCAAAGGTTCCTAGCATGACCCGCGCTCCAGCGACTTCAGTCCCCTCACTGCGTTGTCGGAGCACTTTCGCGAGCTGGGTAACAATTCGTATTAAGGTAAGACTTCGAACGCGCGACTTTCACGTACACTTCACTGGGCGTGCCGCCCCAAAACGATCTTTTGCTCCATCATGGCCTCCGAGATCACATCGGCAGGGAGGCATGCATGTCTCAACTTCCCCGAGTCGAAGCGTCGAAGGCGTTGCACGAGATGGCGTGATGCGAAATACCGAACGCGCCGATGGCGACGTACGTTTGCCGAGACCCGACATCATGCGCGCTGGCAGATGCATCAAGCGAGGATCGAGGAGGGCAAACAAAGGGGAGTGGGAAATTGAAGCTAGAAATCTTGCGTGCGTTCACAGTATACGCGAAAGCTTTGGCAGACGCACTCACGTGGCAGAAGCTCAGACGCGCGAACATACTCGGCCTGAAAGGATAGGCGTCACACGGTGAACTGTTGTTCGCGATCAAGCCTGATATGTCTAAAATTTCTCAACAGCCATTGGTTTCCTTGTGGGAGACTGCGTAATAGAGCCGAATACGTACGATAGTGAAATTCGGGATGAGTCCCATCGCGATGAAGTGACCGCGTGACCACGATGTTAGGCCTAGCTTTCGAGAAAATGAGGCGCTGCTGAGCGTTCGCTTTCAATGTTGATTGTGTGAAATTCCAAGGCGAAAGACCTGCGAATAGAAGTCATGCAGCATCATGAGCACGAACGGTGACTAAAATCCCGTGATCAAAAGATGACGTCGTCATTGACTAGACTAGTTGCGAATACTTTGTGTGACGTTATCGCGTGGCCAAAGGTGGGCTGATCCTGGAAGTATTGCGAAATTGGACGAGGAGCAGAAGGCTTTACAGTGAGGGGGGAGGGGGGCTCAAACACTTCAAGGTCTTCCAATTTTGCTTGTGTTTATATACATGCATACCTACTAATTCCTGCAAAAACATGAAATATAATTGGCTTCCCCCCCCCCAAAAAAAATTCTGGCTATGCCCCTGGTGGGGGTCAGCAATGCCTGATTAGCGTCAAATTTAGAGTATCAACCATGAGCGCACACACATTTATCTGCACTCTCGGCACTTAGTCTTAGTCAAAGGGACTGTCAATTGTCTCGTCCTCCATGGCCCCAACTGCTTATTGAAGAACAAGTTTGAAATGACCGGACAAAAAAAAAAAGAGTTCATTGCTGCCATTGCTTTCTTAGTGGCATAACTTCTGTGACATCAAAAAGTGCTGATAAGGGAGTTTCTGATGGCAAAAAAATTTGAAATAAAACTGTTAACGTAAAATGGTGCAATATTTTAACTAAATTATGTGTATTTCATGCATTCTCATACCTTATATATAGCCCTAATTTTTACAGGAGAGAAAAAAACGCCATCCAGGGATGTGCACAAAAGTACAATGGATGATATTACAGCCTCGGCAGTGCATTTTTGAGGTGTCACACCTACTTAGCTTAACCCAGAGAAGATCATGGCTGCACCCAAAGAACCATCTGTTCGATAAGAACTTCATGCCATGGGTGTCTGCTGAGAGGTGTAAAAGGGGTGCTAGCACCAACTCCAGCCACACCAGCACTGTCCCCCATCTATACTCAACCAGCATTCTCTCGCTCACCCGAATGAGATGCAACACTGCTTTGCACTACCCCAAGGCAAAATCCTGCCGACAATCGTGCTACTACGCGGCAGAAGAGATAATCACCCCAAACCACACCCATGGTTGTCTGCTATGACAGTCGCACTGTTAAACAGCTCTACAGGCTAAAAGCGTACACGTCAATTTCACGAAGTAATCCCCCCCAACCACACCCATGGTTCTACTGTGACAG